TAAACATTAATTCATGACTTTAATGCTTATATTATAAAAAAACAGGCAGTTGTAAGTTTAAAAGATAAAATACATTAACATTTTAGAAAGCACTTTTCTAAAGGTACTATTGGTGCCCTAACCGGTTTGGCTCAGTGGATAGAGCCTCGGCCTGTGGACTAAAGGGTCCCGGGTTTGATTCCGGTCAAGGGCATGTACCTTGGTTGCAGGCACATTCCCAGTGGGGGGTGTGCAGGAGGCAGCTGATCGACGTTTCTCTCTCATCGATGTTTCTAACTCTCTATCCCTCTCCCTTTCTCTCTATAAAAAAATCAATAAAATATATTTTTTAATAAAAGGTACTATTGGGCTCTGATGTGCATGATAAGAAGCTCACTATCCTCCTCTCCCAGGCTTCCTACCAGGTTAAGAACAAATCTGTCTTTATTAGGGTTTATTATTATGGTTGCGTAACTAATCAAACTCAGTGGCTTGAAACAAGCACAGCTATTTGTTTTACCCATGAATCTGCAATTTGTGCAAGGCTAGCAGGCCATGTGGTGTCAGCTGGGTCGGTTTGAATGAGTCTGAAAAATCCACTTCTTAATCGCCTCAGCAAGCTGAGCTTACCTGGCTGCTAAGCTGATGTTGTCAAGCTACTTTCTGCACATGCAATCATAAGCTGATGGAACATTTTCCTTCAGAGCTTACCTATATTATTAAATATGAATATAAGTAGAAAAAGAAGTGATGGTTGAACCACCTATGTAGCCTCAGTGTTACTTTAGTGTCTTCTCATATCAGTATTTTAAATTGCTCAGTTTAAGGCCAGTGCCTAGCTGGAAGCTCAGCCAAGGCTATTGACCAGGGGCCCTGATTCTTCTCCAGGTGGACCTCTCTAGAAGAAGGCTTGGGTTTCCTCACAACATCAGAACCAAACTCTAAGAGCAGGTGTTCTAACAGTGAAGAATTGCGAGATTCTAGTTTCTTTTTTAAAAGCAATATATTTTTATTGATTTCAGAGAGGAAGGGAGAGGGAGAGAGAGCTAGAAACATCAACGATGAGAGAGAATCATTGATTGGCTGCCTTCTGCACACCCCACACTGGGGGGTTGAGCCCGCAATCTGGGCATGTGCCTTGACCGGATAGCAAACCGTGACCTCCTGGTTCATAGCTCGACACTCAACCACTGAACCATACCTGCTGGTCAAGATTCTAGTTTCTTTAAGCATGGGCCTAGATATTGGCATATGATCATATTACTATATTCTATATTCTATTGTTAAAACCGTCATAGAGTGCACTTAGATTAAAGGGCAAGGGATATACATCCTGCTTCTCAATGGAAAAGGTATCAGAAAACTTGCAGCCATTTTTATTCTATCATAATCATCTTCTAAATAATCCCTTTGTGGTGAATAAAAAATATATACAAGACTTTTAAATAAGTCATTTATTGTTGTGTATTCCAGAATTACTGAGACTCTAAATATGTTAAACTTGTAAAATTAGCCTGTTTTAAGTTTCCTTAAGCCTAAAAGGTTGCAGGATAGCATATAACAAGAGCCATCAAATTTTAACAAATTAGGCTAATTGTCATTATTAGAGTATATGAATTGACTATATAGCATCCCTTTCAAAGGGTAAAATTATATACCAGGACTCTACAAAACTGGCCAGGCCAAGCATGGGCGCTTATATTTGATGAATGACAATAGGTCTTCCCAATTTATTTATTATCTTCATATAATCAGGACATGTATCATCTTTGCTTCTAAATATTTTATTCTCCTATCTGCATTAATAATATATATTTCTCCTATGTTTTTGTATCACCAGAGATTGTGACTTGAAAATAGAATGTGTCTAAAAACTATTTTCTAGGTTTTTGGTGTATGAATTTACTGGAAAAAAATTTAATACCTGCTATGTTTCAGGAACTGGTATGTGTTCTGGAAATACAGCAGTTAGCAAAAAGGGCAAGGGCTGTACTTGCACTCAAGGAATTTGCGTTTCTAATGAAGAAGGTAGATAATAAACAAACACTAAATTAATATGTGGTGTAAATTAAAGTAGTGATAGATAGAATTAAGAACATAGGCATAGTAAGGGGATGGAGTGTGATACTGGAGGAAGAGGATGTTTAGACAAGGAGGTCTGGAAAGTGTTCTGTGCTGAGTTGGTTTTTGAGCAGAGACCTGAGTGAGGAGAGGATATAGACCAGGTAAAGATCTCCCAAAGGGTGTATTAGCAGAGAGAACAGCTAGTGAAGGTACTCTGAAGAGTTAATGTGTTCAGAATGTTTGAGTAGCACCAAGAAGGCTAGCATGACTGGGGCAAAGGGAGTGAGATGACTGGCAGAAAATATGATCAGCAAGGGAGGCAGTGCTCTGATTATCTTGGACTAGGTTGAAATTAAGTCTTTGTGTGAATATATATATATATTCTTTTCTGCTGCATGAAATATTATTTGGAAACTGTTTCCATGATGATGATGATGATGATGATACATAATAATTCATAAACACTTACTCCCTATTATACTTTCTTTTTTAACTTGTTTTGTATGAGTTACCTTGGATATCTACCAGGCATCAAAGAAGATATATGTGTCTATAATTCAGGGCAGAGGTATATTATCATTGAGAGAAGCTGCATGTTGGATACATGCGAATTTTCTGTGCTCTTTTTGCAACTTATTATAAGTAAAAATATTTTTTAAGTATATATACACATATACTTGAATCTCTTACCTTGAATTATGACCTTGTTTAGTCCTCTCCAGTATAGGACACCATACTCATGAAAATGAGAGTCAGAAGTGGATATCTTTGTAAATATGCCAAACTTATTGAGATGTTGATGACATTCTTCATTTATTAATGCTGCAAACTTTTAATACATTGGCAGTTTTCTTTATATTTTAATACTTAAACTTTTCATTTCAGCAGAATGTACGCATATTTAATGTACCCACAATGATGAAATGTGTGGTAATTTGTTACACATAAAAGCAGTAGTAAGACACTTTGGCAAAAAGAACATATTGCAAACATCTCAGGGAGCCAAACAAGTTAAATATGTCAAATAATAGGTAGTTCTGTGTTATTTATTGACAACTTCAAATAGCTGTGCACTATTACAACACATGATTGCAGCATTATTTTATTAATCCCTAAAATGCTTTTTATTTTATATTTTTATTGATTTCAGAGAGGAAGGGAGAGGGAGAGAGAGCTAGAAACATCAATGATGAGAGAGAATCATTGATCGGCTGCCTCCTGCATGCCCCACACTGGGGATTGAGCCCACAACCCGGTCATGTGCCCTGACCAGGAATCGAACCAGTTCATAGGTCGATGCTCAATCACTGAACCACGCCAGCAGGGCAAATGCTTATTATTTTAAAAACATAAATTCTCCTTCTCTTTTCTGAAAATGTAAAATGATGCTCATTATTTTAAAAACATAAATTCTCCTTCTCCTTTCTGAAAATGTGAAATTCTATATTTTACATGTATTTTTCTATCATTATTTTATGTATTATTTCTGTGTTTGACTTTCTTAATACCACAATGGTGGAATAGAGATGTTAAGTCTGTGATTACCTCTATTTTTAAATATAAATATTCCAAAGGTTTAAAGACCCAGTTCAAAAATGTCAGCACCATATTATTCTTACTCAGTTTTAACAAAACATCATCTATCTTGAAAATTACCTGCACTGTCATCAAAATTCCTAAGTAACAGCAGCAACAACAGCCTAAATACTGATAAAATTACAGCTTCCTGAATTGCAATTGTAATTTGTTGTATTCAGAGAACAATTGTTCTTAAAAAACCCCACATGATTTTCTGAAAATATGTTAAGGATGTTAAGTTGCACCACTAGCTTGATTTTATATCACCTCCATCAAAAGGAATTTTGGTTGACCAAATGGCAAAATGAAATAGCCTGTACTTTGTTTAGAGGAATCATTTTTTTTTTTAATGCTTGGAGGATGTAGAATGGAAGTGATCATTGTCTGATAGTCCACTTATTTGTCAAATGCTTATGGAATGTATGTGGTTACTAAACATTGTGTTCACTGAGTACTAAGGTGAATAAAGTCTTGCTTGCTTTCAAAAGAGCTTAGTGTTAACCAAGGGAAGGGATAGAGTGGGGGTTGTGTGCAGTTGGGGGCATGGTCAGTTTTGGCTGAACTCAGCGACTTTTCAGAGCTTTTACAAGATCAGGTAAACATTAGTAGCCTGACGAGATGTGGAGAGAGAAGGGTTGGTAAATTATGGGTTGAAGAAGGGGATCATAGACAGGGGGATTACAAAACCTTCTCCCATCGTAGGCTCCTGTAGATAAATAGCACTGGTCTGCCAGCTGGTTTTACTTTTAATTAAAATGATGAAATAAAACAATTTACAATACTGGTATACTGACATGAATTTAATAACTTGAATTTTCAGGCATTCCAAAGTTTCCTTTTAGCTGTTAATTCCAACCGTGTTTCTCTTCAGAACCTTCTAAAAACAGAACACTTCAATTTGTCTTCAGTCCCTATATTTCTTATGTTATGTCAACAATATTTATAAGTAGGGAAGTGTTCCAAAAGCTGGAAGGAGCAAGCAGTGAGAAAGAACATACATTTCTAAACTGGATCATCAATCCCTAGAAAATTCAAATTGGTCATTCAGGAGCACAAGTCTGGAGGATGACTTTAGATGCGAGGCTAGAATTTCCTAGGAAAATTATAATTTTGGAGCATTTAATTCTTCACGAAATCTGTTAGCCACTCTCATGTTTTGCCACATTGACCAGAGTATTACATATGCATGTTTGTTCTAGTGTAGGTAACACTTACTGAATTAATACCAAAAACCAGGCACTTTTCTCAGGGGTTAACATGTATTAGCTCCTAAAGTTTATGAAGACATCTCTGTCACACTATTCATTGATTGGGCCAATATTCACATTTTTTTTCCACTTGGGATGTTTGTTTCATTTTCATCATTTCTTCTCTTTCAGCTCTTCTTTATGCAACTATTTTTGGAAATGTTACCACAATTTTCCAGCAAATGTATGCCAACACCAACCGATACCATGAGATGCTGAATAATGTACGGGACTTTCTGAAACTTTATCAGGTCCCCAAAGGCCTTAGTGAACGAGTCATGGATTATATTGTCTCAACCTGGTCCATGTCAAAAGGCATCGACACAGAGAAGGTAGGGGTTATCATTATTGTTGTTATTTATTTTCTATTTCAATAGGATTCTCAGCTGCCTGTAGTTTTCCCACTCACATATTGCTTGTATAATTGCTTCATAAATGTTACTCTATTTCATAAGTAACATATCAATCAATCATATTATTGAATGCTTAGAAGGTGCAAAGCACTCAACCATTAATCATCAATTAGTACTAGTCATCACACTCAATTTAGAAATTGTGGGTTCTGAAAACAGCTAATTACTGCATTTCCATAAAACACTCTCATTGCCACTCAGAGTAATTTGCTACATTCCTCTAAAACTCTAACAGGGCTGCCATTTTCCCTGGTAGATTTTATTCTTGATTTTTTTCTTTGACCTTTTTGCCCATTTAAAATTTAGAAAACAACTTCCTTGCTTATAAACTAAAAAGAATTATGTTTGCTATCCTCCCCTAAATTCTCTCCCCTTTCACATGTTTCTAAAGCAACTTACAATTCTTTGTTTTTCCCACACAAATCTATAAGATGGACACTATCCTCCCCATTTATTTGATATCTCTAATTTCTTGCTTGTATTTTCATGAAACCTTTTTAAGTGTTTCCCATCCATCTCATATTAGGGGCAAAGAAAGGGCCGAAGGCCTCCTCACAATAAACAAAACCAAATTTTAAAAACTTCTCACTTCCTACACCCAGCTGACTCAGGTCAAATATAGAGGATGACAAATAGGGCTTGCACACAGGAGTTTTAGAGAAAACTGGTCGTGAGCTATTTTACTTTATAAGCATCAGTGGAGACTTTTATTTTTAGGTACTGATTTTTGACAAATGATAATGAAACAGCACATTACCTTCCTTGCCATTTCCCACAAATTTGATTTGTTCTCTTAATCATATGAGGTTGAGTTGTAGTTTTTCTGTAAGACCTGCTCAACAAGTACCTTTCAAAGTAAAAGGGA